TTTTTGCACGGCGCCATCCGTGCGATCACCTTGAGCACCACTGATACCATGGAGCTGTGAAACCGTAAAGAGTGCAGTCGGCCTTCTGAAATATCGTGACAGCTCTCTGAATGGTGGCGGTGCCAGGAGAGAAAATCCCAGTGCTCAGTGTGCAGAGGAGAAGCTGCCTGAGATGCACTAGGGAGAGACCATTTCTGATTTTACGTAGCGCAGACTACTACAGTGATTTTCAGAATCCCCAGTGGCCCTATAGAGATTAGATATAGATACTTACATCGAGCCAAGCTGGACCAACGTATCTATAAAAAAAAAAACATTTCTGGAGTTCCACTTTAATGATTTCTGGGTCACTGACCTGGAACAATTATGCAGATCAGGAAAGTCAGAACGAAGCCAAAACTCCTGATCTCCATACTTGTTCTGGGTCAGTTACACAGATAACAGGGACCCCATTAGATCAGAGGTGTGCTAATTATAATATGGAATATTTTCATGCAACATACACTCAGTATGTTCGTACTACAGTTTTAAAGTTCTTTATTAAAGTTTTAGATCAAGAATTAAAAAAACAGAAGCAAACAACAGCATTTCGTATCCATATAAAAGTAATTATAAGCAGTAAGAATTTTAACCAGAGAAATGTAGATATCATAAAGCGATTAATAAGGAGGCATATCCATACACATGAAATGGGGTTGCTGAATATTATCTGATCTATATCTGGTATGTGGCTTCTGCAAGCTGGCTTGGTTCTTTCTGGTGCAGGAACTTCAGCATCACAAATTTTGAGCATGATTAACTTTCACTGTGAGTGTTACATATTCATCACACCCGAAAAATTAAATTAATCACACTTGAAAATGTAATAGTCATTTACTGAACCTTAAAAAGCAATTTCAGGCTACAAGTGAAAGCAATCAGTGAGCTACAAATGATATGTAGAAATCCCCGCTTCCTATTACGGTTAGGAAGTTCACTCAATTTAAATCTATCTGAGTCTTGTGTATTCCACTGCGGCCAAATTCAGCAGAGCACATCGCAAGGTCACTGGGAATGTAGCCTGTGTTGGGTGATACATCCCTTATCTGTCTCTTCTTTCTGTATCACCAGATTCAAAATTTCAAGGCAAGGTGGAATCAATTTGGTGGCTATGATTTTTTTTTTTCTTTCTTACTGCTATTCAGTGTTATATCAGGTTTATTGTATGTGTGAGGTAGCGGGAAGCCTGTAGCGGTGTATTTGGGAATTCTTCTACTGTATCACAAGTTAAGGTTCCAAGGCCACCAGATTAACTCCTTCCCACCAGCTATATGCATATATGTGGCAGCAGAGCCGCAGGCTTTAAGGCTGGGCCGGCACATATATGCCTACAGATGGCATCCCTGTTCTGTCCTGGGAGCGTGCCCCCAGCACTGTGACCATGTTTTCACTGACAGCTCCCAGTATATACAGTATACTGTATACAGAAATGGGCGCCAAACCAAAGGATGAATGAGTCCAAGATGTTTTCATTGGTTGAAATTTGATCACACAAAACCTAATCAGATCAGTTCTGTCCTGCACAATTGTTCGCAATCCCTGGGAAGCTCTATTTCATAGGCCTGTCTCAAAGCTGTCCAAAACTACCAGACGTCTGACAACTTTTATCTTTTTGGCTGCCCATCAAACCATTGCTAAGGCTTGGAAACAGCCTACAGTGTAATTTGGGGAGGTTAAACAAGGGGTCATGGGCATTATGGTGCATGAGAAGCTTTCGGCCATTCTAAAAGCTTTCGGACAAACTCTAAGTTTCTAAAAATATGGTTTGGACTATAACCATCATATGAATTTAGACCGCATTCTTTCCTTGGGTTGGACTCACATTCCGCCCTTGATGAGAGGGCATGGATGGGACCAGCCCTGAGGGCACCTCCCCTTCTTTCTATTAGGTAAATTATACACATTGACCTATCATGTGTGCCCTTTTTCTTTTGAAGAATCTTTGTACATATTCTGTTTGTTACATATGTTTGTTTATGATGACATTTTACTACCCTCTTTTGTGATCTACCTTCTTATTGAATCGTTATCTCGCGTTTCGTCCTGTTATATTGTCTTTTTTATAAAACTAATAAAACTTTTTTGTGAAAGAAATTTGATCACACAAAAACAGCCAGTGCGTTTTAAGGACATAAACACTCCCTCCACTTCATCAGGTCTTAATTTAATAAAATGAGAAATTGAATAGACTCACAGGAATTTATAACCAAAGGCACCTATTTGAACAGTTAACTTCTGCTTACTAGGGATAACCTCTGGTATGGACAGAACCCGTTCTGAACACGAGCTCCTCCAAACAAGGACCTACCATGGGCACTTCCACCCAGTCAGCTGCGGGCTAGGCATTCTCCGCCACATAGCGGCATGCAAATAAACTGACAAGATGCTTGTGCGGATGTCATTGACCTTATATTGCCAGATAGCTATATTAGGTAAATGTAATTTATCAAATATAGGCATGTAGCCATATAAAGTCAATTACTTCACTGCATCCTGCTCACAGCTGATGGAGCTTCCTTCCATGTTCCAGAGGGGCTCCTTCCAGGTGGAGAGGTGCTTAGGTTTGAACCGGGTTTGGTTCCTACCACTAACCATAGTGTATGATTTGCAATAATAAAGAGAATTCAGATCAGACCCATTATAGATTCCTTTAGTTATAATTCATAAGCTCATACTTACACATTATAACGTGACACATTAATAATACATCAGTCCCAGTGAAAATTCCAAACACTAATAAGAAAACTTCAGTAATCAATATTTTATCAGTCCCAAATGTATCACTTTTACTTGGAGCCTTCACTGGGAGTGACAAATGATTAACAGCCGGATGTTCATTTGAAAATATGAATTATTCATTAGTCACATTACAATATTTATGTACAAACTTATGAATTTGAGGTTTTTAAATTTATTTTTATGTAGAAGTTATAAAACTATTTATGTATTATATGTAATAGTTTATATGTTTACTTATAAGTAACACTGACTGGATGATTTGAGGATTTAATATTAAGCTCGGCACATTTTAGATTATTTTCTTGGACATTTATGGTATTTATTGACACTGGTGGTCAGTTTGAGAAATATATATTTATATTTTAGTGCAGAAATATTTCCCTAGAAGCTTTGCAGATTTTAGTGGCGACGGTTTAGAAATCTCTTGCAGTTTTTAACCATTTTTTTTTTGTATAGAAAAGGATAATACTGCAAAGACACTATTGCAGAAAGATACACATGCTGATTTGTTCATTATGAGTCTTGGCAATCTTGATTTGATATCTTAGAAGTTGCATCATCAGACAGTGGAGAGCAGAAATGCATGGACCCATGCAACTGTGATAACACTATCTGGCAAATCATTTCAGACAGTGGTTGCCATTATAGCTCAGCATTCATCCATAGTGAACATCAGCTCCCATCAGCATGTAGTGCTGAAAAAAAATTTGAAATAAAATAAACAAAATTAGAAATAAAATAAACAAAATTAGAAATAAAATAAAATAAATTAGAAATAAAATAGAAATAAAATAAAAAAAATAGGAAAAAAAATTAGAAATAATATCAAAACAATTTGAAATAATAAAAATGCAGCCATTTGTTAAAGTTAACTGGCAGAGCCTTGTATACATGGGTGTTTTCTCAGCACACTTGTGAATATAACTAACCTGATGCCCATTGCTGTATTAAAGAATCACGCTGCCCTAGGACCATGTGAATGATGGCTTCAGTGATGGACTAGTTCCTTTAGCTTTGCACCGTTATATAGGCCGCCATATCATATCGGCCGAAAACGGCACTTTTGGCAAAATGCTGAAAGTTACCTTTTTTGGCCGAAATAGCGGTGCATCTGTGATTTCTCTCTTTCCCGCTGGGCGCTGCTCTGTGTCCCAGCGGGGAGGAGAGAAACTGTCACAGAAGACCGAGCTGTGCGGGAGGAGAATGTTGTGAGCGGCCGGCGTTTTTCCTCTGCACAGCGCTCAGCCTCCTGTCAGAGATCAGAGGTGTGGCCAGAGACAGCTGTTGCTGTCACAGGAGGCTGAGCTCCTGTACTAGTGTATAGTTTATATAAGGAACACACTGTACAGCGTATTATGTGCATAGAGACATGGTACTTAATCCCTAATCTTGTTCATAGGCTACAAAGTATAATTAGTAGGGATGCACCGATACTATAACAGTATCGGTGCCGATGCTGAGTATTTGGGCGAGTACCCGTTCTCGCCCAAATGCTCTGATGCCTAGCCCGATACTTGAGCTTCCGGTATCAGGAAGCCAGACAGCGAGTCATTACACGCTGTCCGGCTTTCTGATTGGCCGGGAAGGCGGCTCCATGCTCCCTCGTCACTAGTGACGAGGGAGCATGGAGCCGCCTTCCCAGGCCAATCAGGAAGCCGGGCAGCGTGTAATGACTCACTGCCCAGCTTCCTGATTGTTTGGGAAGCTGGCCAATCAGGAAGCTGGGCACCGGTGACAAGGGAGCATGAAGCTGGCTTCCCGGCCAATCAGGAAGCCGGGCGCCGTCTAATGACTCATTGCCCTGCTTCCTAATTTACCAGCTTTGACCAATCAGGAAGCCAGGCAACGAGTCATTACACAGTGCCCAGCTTCCTGATTGGCCAGAAAGCTGGCTCCATGCTTCCTCGTCACTTGGTGATAAGGGAGCATGGAGACGGCTTCCATGCTAATTGGGAAGCCGGCCGGCGAGTCTTTACACACCACCTGGCTTCCCGGCTAATCAGGAAGCCAGGTGGTGAGTTACTTCACACCGACTGGCTTCCTTAATGGGATTTCCGGTATCGGTATTCGGTATCGGCGAGTACCGGTAAAAAATATCGATACTCGATACCGAAAAAACGGTATTGGTGCATCACTTATATATATACACACATATATATAGATAGATACACAAATACACACAGTATATGTGCACTCCATATAGTAAGATTGTATTAACTTACTTCATATTGCTTCAGTATGATGTTTTCAAGCAGCACATGATCGAGCAAAGGTAAAGGATAGCCCTCGTTAAGTTTTTCTGGATGAACAGGAAGAAGAAATATTGTCACTTTCAGGGTAAAAAGAATTGTGCATAATACATATAAATAGTCCAATGATGCTCTGGTCTTTTTAAAACTCGATCCAAATATGTGGGGAAGAGCTACAGAGGTTCTGTTTTTTTTTTAAATTCTTTCTGTGATCACCTTGGGGAGATTTTCCCTCTGACACAAAGAAATGGTTGTCACCCGCACAAGATGGCATATACAGCAATAAAACATAATAAGTTATATCCCTTCCATGCAATACTAAAATGTGTTTGTTTGTGGGTCACCATTGGAGAGATTTGTGAGTGAGAGGAAATCTCTCAAACAGGGACATAGCAATAAAAAGCTCTAACCCTTCCTATTCTATCCAAAACAAGTTAAAACATTTGACTGGTGTTGGGCTTTACAGTTGTTAGATCAGTATGTACAATAAATCAGCTTAGAATAATCATATTAATGTCTTTTAACCCCTTCATGACTGAGGCCTTTTTTTCATTTTTTGTACCCATATAATACGGTGAAGCTGTGTTTATTCCATTCGCCCAGTCATCTACATGTGCTTTCCCTTGTTAATTTCTCTTGCACATGATTGAGTATTCAAAGCAAAATCTCAAACATCTTTACTAAATTCAGTGACCATTCACAAATCTAATAAGTATACATATATGTACATGTCCTCAGATCTGTGGACGGTTATACAATCTAGTGTTTGTGTTCCACTTTGTGTGCCAGTCGCTTGTGCATTTCCTGCTGGCTCTGCCACTGGAGAAGCCCAGATGAGGAAACTGGCAGTTACAGATTGTTATTGCAAAGGTCAGCCAACAGTGTGCTATAGTGGGTGTGCTATAGTGTAGAGTTATACGCTGCCTGTTCATTCTGTGCTGGCTTCTTTTGTAGTGTAGAATTGTAAAATGGAATAAATAAAAGCCAGGACAGTGTTTTCTGCATTTTCCTACAGTTTCTGTGTACTCCTTATTTACTCATTATCACATTATACTGCTATTTATTTGGAAAGATAATAGGTTGAAATAGTGTATCCTGCCTAATTCAATCTCTTTGAGAGGGGTGGTGTTGCAACACGACACCCAATGGTATAATTGAAATACCAATATTGATTTAATTTGAATATGAGATCCCATTACAATCTCTATAAAATGATATAAAACATGATACCGGGTACATACCATTGACTTTTGGAAGAAGGACGGTTGAGAGGTAAAAATTTACTGCAGTCTGTATAAGCCCCACCTGCAATATAATTTTTGAGACACAGACTGATTATTGTTGGTACATTATTCTTTGGCATGGTGAACCCATAGCATGAGGGTTTCATTGTCCTGTCCCACCCCCCAACAAAAAAAGCTCCCATAAAGGCTCTGATCTCCTAAGCTTAGAAAAATGTGCTAGTGCATGCATATATGTACATCGTAATCCAAACTGGAATACCCTAATTGAGGGGTTCTTCAACCAACTGGTGGATGGTGCCATAGCAGACAGTACAAAATATGTTGCCAGCACTCCTGAATCTACAGGCACTGAAACTGCCTTCATTAACATCCGTTTAGAACGTAATACAGAATAAGTTTGACTTTCCTTGTATGACATGCTGAACGAATGTCAATTTTCTTCTTAGGTATATAATTCACCTAGAGTTTACCTGCTGCAGCTTTCAGTGCTCAAATGCCAGGCCAGTCTGATCGGGCAAGGCTTCAGGTCTTTCCAACAGTGCTAAAGCTGGGCTGCCCCCTCTTAAAGATTCCTATTGGCTATTAAGAGAGCTAGATCAAATGCTGGTTTATTTACACAGAGCGGAGGAGGGTCAATGCTCTAGAGCAGTGGTTCTCAACCAGTGTAACCTCGGGACCCACATGTTTCCTTGGTCATTAAGGCGTGAACAGTGGTTATTGTTAGGTGGCTCTTAAACACAGAGGGTCCATGGGGAGCATCACAAACAGGATTCTGAGTTTGAAGGAAATTAGCAATACATCAATTATTAATATATTTGTCTCAACAGAAAAAAATACAGGGCAACAAGCTAATGCGTTTTTAGGGGCCCTTCATCAGGATTATCTTGAAAACAGATAGACTCTAGGGGGTTTGGAGAAATCTGTAGTAAAAATGCTCCTACTACGTAGGCTTTAGCAGCTGGCTCAGAGCGTTTCACCAGAACCAGTCATGGAATCCTGCTTGGAAGAAAGAGCAACTTTTCAGCCCTGGATTTAATACCTTTGGAATAATTGGTGTCACCATCTTGTATCCTTCAACCTCTATTGGCTAGTAAGGAAGCCCATCAAAGTGATGGACCAGTAGGAATGTGTGGATAGCACATAGGTCTCACACAACCCTTTGCAAAAGCTGCAACATTTTAGATCACCATGTCCAAACTGGCAGCTCAGTGCAGAATAACACGTACTGTCAATGCCATATGCTGCCATACTCTGCCAGAGACTATGGCAACCATTAAACGTACCTGCACATGAGTAAAGGTTTTAAGTTGACTTTGCTGGTAAAAATAACTACCCTATCTGGTGAGAAGAACTTCATCTGATACCAGAATATCAAATTACTGAGCCCCAGTGATAGCTGTTGTTACCATCTCCACAATTCATACTCACCGGGAAAGGTCCTACATCCGAATGTTTCAGCTCAATGTCTACCCTAAATTTAAAAAAAAAAAACAGAGCAAGATGTTAACCATGTAAGTTTATTGCTTCCTTGTCTTTTAGAAGAAAACAAAGAAGATTCATATGTCCTTATATACAGTTTATTCTTATATCCTAGATGGTTTTTAATCTTACATTTAATTTTAAAATGAGAATACTCTAGATAGCATGTGTATAAAGTGATTACAGCAAAGCTGTAACTATTAACCACAAGGCCCTGGTGTGAAATGTGAATATGAGTAACGCGGGGAACATCTTGGGGCTAATGCGCCGTTTTTGTAGATAATTCGGTCTCAAGTTTGGTCGTCAGACCAGGATGTGATGGCAAAAATGCAAAAGCAGAGGATGCTTGCATGCTTTGGCTGGATAATTGACTAAGAAAATACTGAGTACAAACAACACTGGGCATCTAGCAAGGAGATTTGCCACAGCAACAGACATATTTGTCCAAATACATGTTCCTTTTAAAGAAAATCATCTTAAACATGCATTTTAAAGGTGCGCCCATTCATTTTTAAAGGTTCTCAACATACTGTATGCCTATGCTTAAGAAAACACACATGACTCTAACGCATCTCAATGCATACACCTGTAGACACATGTATTGCAATGATGCATAGCATTTGATGCTTGGGGGTGCATTGAGGGTCTATAGGACATGGAATGGGCACATGCAAAAGCACACAAACATCAACATACTTGGTTACATGAAGGTGGACATTACAACACACGCTATATTGCATGTGCGATGCTGTGCACAGTAGCTCAGTGTATGGAGACAACAATCATATAAGGGCTCTAATATTGCATCACATAAAGTACAATGTACAATGCATTTTAGATGCCTTTTCCAAAGACCGTTTGGCTTAATGGCAAAATATAGGACGATACACTTAAGACTTTTCCCCAACGTACTGCAATGCAACACGATTTCAAATCGATCCTGCTGAACACAGTAGGGGACATATAACAAGGAAATCAGCAATGCAAATGAGTCACACATCAGGCTGCCTGTCCTTCAATAAAGTCTCTGTGACAGGTTAACAGATTTGTGCGTCTGTATTCCTGGGCAGCCTAGTGTGACAATTTGCAAAGTTCGGAGACAGATTTATTGCGGAAAATGCAACAGATTTTCACTCTAAACAGAAGCAATATTAGGAAGTGGTCAGGATCAGGTTTTCTTCTGTCGCAGTGCTACCTCAGAGCAGCTAAGAAAGGAAACTAGTAAGTCAAGCTGTATCCTTGTAATAAATGTGTTGCATGATTTGAGTGGATAGCGGAGTGGAATTGTGTACAATCCACCAAGGAAAAGACTGCCAAGAGGAAACTTCCACACTCTTCCCAGATAACCTGTGAAAAAACATGGGCCTCATTCACACTGGGGTGCATATTCCGGGAACAGGTCTCTGCACGGTTGTGCACGCCGTATGGTTGTGGGTTAATGAAAAATAAATAGCATGCCCCCCTCCCTTCCAAGAATTAACTAGCCCAGTATATCAGGCATGCAGATTGGTATCCCCATAGCAAGGGAGGAGTCACTGTACAGCCTGCCCTGCTATTGGGATTCAAGCCCACATGCCCTTCAGCTTTGGGGGAGTTCCCCAAAAGGCAGACTCTGCTTACCTGCATGCACTGGTCAACTGGTAAGGGGTCTGAGTGCCCCCTAAGGCCCCGCTCACACCAGAGCAGTTTTGTCGTTTTGAAAATCCCATACATTCATATGCAAACGCATGGAATCATGCGTTCCAATACGCCTGTCGCCTGAAATGCTCCCTGAGATACTTTTGTAGTGCTGATCAGAGCATTTTCCCTGAAGACTTCAATGGAAACGCGCTGATCAGCATGTTTTTATGCATGTTTTTAATGTTGGTTTAGTGCTGAAATGCGCATAAATACGCACTTCCAAAAAACGCACGTATAACGCTCTGAAACGCTTTTGCCCTGGTGTGAATGGGGCCTTAAAACCTGTTCATTGGAGGAGGGGTGCGACCAAAGGGTGGGGCAGTTAGGTTAAACATAAATGTTGGGTGAATTTCACAACAAATCTACATTTACTAACTGATTACATAGAATGAATAGTGCAGTAAGGCAATTGCCTATTAAAGAATTGATGTTGGATGATTACTGTTGAAATCTTCTCATCTTGTTTGATGCTATTTTGTCAGTTTGAAAACGAGCAAAAACCACTGTGATGGTTTTTATACAGTGAATGTGGAAAATCAATTGATCATGGTCAAAATTTACTTGTCGAATCATTGATAAATACACCCCTTAGTGGCTAAACAATCTGAATACATTTTACAGGTAAACCATATACTGTACACTCATTCCAGCCCTGAATAATCCTTACTTGTTGTGAATGATGGGACTATTTACCTGCTAAGTTTCAGGTTTCCCACAATTCTGCTCGAACTTACTGCAACGTTTGCGATTACATCAGTTTTCTGTTAATGACATACACGTCAGCAAACAAACTTGACAGCAAATTAAAAAGGCAATGTAAAGGTAAAGAAATCTGTGCTAATATGGTAGCCGACATGGCTGACCTCTTGCTGGAAATGCTAGTTGGCTGGGTGTTTTTTGTTTCAATACATTTAGGGGGTTATTTACAAACAACGTTCGGCTATTCACTCCCGCTCAGTATGGCTGAAATCAGTCATACATCGGCCGCACTTAGGTCAGCCGAACATGCTCTGCATGTTCGGCTGAGCCGAAGTGCAGAAGGACTTCGACTCAGCCGATCCAACTGGATAGGCTGAGACGGAGCTCCCGCAGCTCACTTGCTGCCGTTCGGCCCTATTCTCATCCTCATAGTCGGCCAGCTGTCACAGCGCTCCTCCTACGCTGCAGCAATAAAAGTTTTGCCCAGAGTTCTTCAAACTTTTGAACTGTACACTACATGCAGGTCTCTGCACAGCAGCGAGGTGTGCTGCACTGCGGTGACCAGCGGTCCCATCCAGTAGGCTGCGGAAACATGCACATCTGCACATCTGCATTTTTCCTCACCGCACATCACACCAGTGTTGTGGTATGAGCGGTGCACTATGGTTTTCTATGTGACCTAGTGGTGGCTGGAATTTTTCATGTGCAGAAAAACCCAGGTCACCGCCCACCCAGTGTGAAAGTAGCCTTACTGCAGTTGGAGGCTCCATTATTTCTGGTAAAAAGGTTGTCCCCTGGACAGGAAGTGAGGGGAAATCTCTCTAACAGCCACACAGATTAAAATAAAAATGCTTTTGTTAAATTAGGAAGGGAATTGCTAGAAACTCTGTCAGCTTTTTATTGTTGAATAAATCTAGGATTATAGGATATCCAAGTCTAGTTTTTCCAAGTCTGTAACTCCAGTCCCTTCATCAGGGCTAAGAAAGATTTAGAACATTCTCTTATATACATCGTTGTAATAAATTATTCTAAAAATTAAGAAACCAGATGATATACCAGTAAAGTCCTAATATCAATATAAAGAAAATGACATCAGGAATATTATTTGTAGTAAAAATGGAAATCATTAAAAATGATATAATCGTACATTATCAATTAGATGATTTCCATTTTTACTACCAACAACATTTCCTATGTCATTTTTTATTGCGTGAGGATTCTGATATAATTTTGTAAATCAGCCTCATTGTATCAGGACAAAAAGTGAAAGAAAATCCCAAATTTTAGACTTGTCAGGAACAGAAACAAAAGAGAAATCGTATTTTGCTGTACAAACAGAAGAAAAGCTGGCCAGACCCTGTATTCTGATGGAATAGTTTACTGACGCTTGTATCACATCACTGGTGTCTTGCCCAAGGTCTGCCCCCCACTGACACATTTCACTCAAGGACCTTGTAGAGAGAGCCATCTCTAGAGAGAGCCATCTCTATGACTTAGCCGGTGATCGGGTGAAACTCATCAGATGGGGTGGACCTTGGGTGGGACACCAGTGATATGGTACAAGCTTTAATAAACTATCCCAGTGGAATCTGGTGTGTGGCCAGCTCTTCTTCTGTTTGTTTGGGCTCTTGTTGGAGTGAGGACAAGCACCTGGCTCATTCATTCCCATGGAGGAGTGTTTTTTCTTTTGTGTGTTCTCCTTGCTATGTTGTTACTGTGCAATGCAGTGCCATTTTATTCTGTATGGCACCCCAATGAACCTTCTGATAGACGTGTGTTGCAGTGCATGTTGTTAGTACGTTGCTCTGTGTTACGCTGCAATTCATTATGCCAGCAGGTACAAGGGGCGTATTCAGAACGAATGGCACCTCATTGTGTTGCGGTAACGTGTGTGTTACCGCAAATTGATAGTGAGAACGGACCCCAAGAGGAAATTTTGGAGAGATTTCCTTTGCTTCCTTTTGTGTCTCTGGGTATATATATATATATTTCACACTGTGTGTATATACTGTACATGTGTTTATATATATATATATAACATGCATGACCTCAGCTAAACAAGGTAAAGAGCATGAATAACCTTTATTAAAGAAGATTACTGACCAGATTTAAAAGGAACAGAGGAGCCAGGGATGAATTTGGCAGTATTGCATAGGCCTGGATGTTCAGCAGTGGTGCCATGCTCACATTTCCTGGACTGATATTCAGAGATGGAGCAGAGTCTGATGTAATTATTAGCTTCATGAGCATATCTGGGTACATCTTTGCCAACTGAAAATGAACATAGGAAAGATCTTCATTAATGTGACAGAAAGTCCAATTACACAGCATGTTTTAGTAAAATTCGTAAAAAGATGCAGCACGTGTGGAGACTCAGGAGTTCAAAGGGCAGGGAAAACAGCATGGCTGTTCACACCTCTAGGGAGCAGTTCAATTGAGTGTGCTAAATGCAAAGGCCATTTAGCCCTCGTTCACACCCGACGGTCGCGCATATGCAATACGCCTAGGTGTGAACGAGACCTAATGGTTCCAAACACATACCTTAATATATTACAGATATTTGTTTACCATCTCAATCAACTAAATATTTCTACTATATCCTAAAGCAGTCTATCATACTTTACCTGTGGTATCATTAACCCAAAGGATGAAGTGTTCAGTCTCACTGGAGAACCTTTTGGAACCTGTATGAAGAAATAAACTATGGATCAATGCAAACACTTTTGAAAGGGGTACATTTTATATTATATGTATTTTACTAGCCAGAAAAGCTTCTTCTTTATACCACTCTCATTTGTTTTTACTTTGCTACTAAGGAATTACCTTTCTTGGGTTTGTGGCTTCTATTTTTAATAAATACATTTTGTTCATGATGGTTTTTTATTTTTATGGAAGATAATCTACCAAATTTGTTAGCAAATATTCTGTGTTAATTTACAATACTGAGGCTGAAAGCCCAGATGAAGCTTTGTATAACAATTTTTATTATTAATGCTTCAAACTAATGCCTAGCAGCCCTTCCCTGGCAGCATGCTGGATAACTGGACCTCTGCCCTCAGCGTGAGAGCAGTGGCCCTGATCTTGGTGGTCTGGCATGTCCTCTACACAGTGCTCCAATCAACATTTCTGTTTAGGAAGCATGAGTGTTTTGACTGGAGCACAGCAGTTGTGACTGTAATGCAGACTGCTGTTTTTAGAGTCCAGGTATCCAGCACTCTGCCGAGAAGACCTGCTGGACATTAGTTTAGAGCGTCATTACTGGAAAAAAAAACCAAAACAAGTAGTTTAATTTTTTTATGCAGCCTCACTTTATAGTAACCTTAAAAAATAAACCTACAAATGGGCTTTAAACACTTGTGAAACAAATATGGCTGCCATTTGTAAACATTGAACAATGGTTATGAATAACACTTTAAGATCATGATGCTTTTCTATGATCTAAGTACTGTAATTACTGAAAGCATGATGAAACAATACATTTTTCCAGCTATCTGGACATGATTTATTATGCATAGAAGACTATTGCTGGTTTTACTGGCCTATTACAGAAAATCACTGCTCAGTAAATGATGAATACAGTGTTTTTATAATTAGCTTTCTCACCATGTCATCAGTCACATTGAAGACAAGCTTTCCAGCTGACTGATAGACAAACCCTGCTGTATTAAATAAGTAATCAGAAACAGCAAAGTAAACCATCAGGTTGTGGTCATCGGGTAGAGACAATGGTGGTGGTGAAAATGGTGGTGTGGTACGGTGTGCAGTTTCAAAAACTTCACCCTGTGGATACAATTTAAGAACAAGTATGTTAGTTACAAATATATCTGCAAAAAGACAATTACATTCTTATTAGACATGTGCAAATCATTTAGTTCCGAATTGAAATTCGTACGAATTTCTTTAAATTCAGACATTTGGATGCATCCGAATTTCCGAATGACAGAAATAATGAATCTCAACAAATCAGAATGTTTGATAACGAAATTCAGATACATCCGAATTTCATTCAGAAACGAAACACAACAAGCGGGAGAGCAGTCATTTACCGCTCTCTGGCTTCTCTGCATTTGTATCTCAAATTAAAATAAAGTAACAGAATATTGTTACAAAATGTAAATAATAAAAGAAGCTGAGAGATGTGTGTTATTCTGTAACGGATTATGCTTCTTGGAGGACACTTTCATCCCCAATGTAAAGAATCTGACAGCTGTCACAGAATACACAAAAGTGTTTAACTGTTCACAGAAATAATAATATTTTTTTTAAAAACACAGCGTGGGGCCCCCCCCCCAATTCCTAACAGACCCTTTAGATCTGGTTGGAATGTTAGGGGGGACCCCTTGCAAAAAAAACCCAGCATGCAGTTCCCTGAAAATTATACCAGACCCTTTAGGTCTGGTGGGAATTTCAAGAGGGAACCCCAACGTCAACAAAGTAAAAAAAAAAAATGGGGCCCTCTAAAATCCCATACCAGACCCTTAATGCGGGCACCTGCCTGGCAGGGCAGGAAAGGGGGGGACGAGTGAGTGCCCCCCCTTCCTCCACCATACCAGGCCGCATGCCCTCAGCCCCCCTGGACCCCCTGGAAAAGCACCTTGTCCCCATGCCAATGTGGACAAGGGCCTCTTCCCTACAACCCTGACCCGGTGGTTGTGTGGGTCTGTGGCCAGGGGGGGCTCATCTGGGTACCCCCTTTCATAAAGGGGGCACCCAGATGCCACCTGCACCCCCCTTGTGAATGAGCAAGGGGTACTTGCAATGTTTATATCTGGCAGTGTGCAGAAATAAGCAAAGCCTGCTATTGGTTATTTAAAATTGAAATACCCAATAGCAGGCTGGCTAATGCTTGCGCCCACTGCCTGATGTCAGTCACAGAGGGGCAGATCTAAGAGTAAACTTTCTCTTTTAGGCCTGCTCCTCTGGGAATGAAAGAAGGCAGTGGGCGGAGCAAAAGCCAGCTTGCTATTGGCTATTGCACTTTGAAATATAGCCAATAGCAGAATAGCTGCCTCCCACTGCCTTCTGTTAGTCCCAGAGGAGCGGACTTAAGAGAGTAAGTTTGATTGAAAGCTCAATAACAACTGAGAGAAAAGTACCGGTAAAATGACACTAAACTCAGGAGATAAACCTTAAAGTGCATTCAAGTACCTGAACTATTAACAAAAATGTATCTTATTTGTGTATCACTCGGCTGTAGATCCTCAAATCATCTCTGAATTGGTGCTGACACTGTCCTTCCTTCTGGAGGGGGGCTACTTCTGTTCCCCATGGTCCTCGTGTGTTTTCTAAAGTAGACACCGCTCCATGCTCTCTCCTGTGATGGACTACAATCTCATGTTTAGTTTACCAATTTATTTTGAGATTTTAGTCCATCCTGGGAGTGAACTTGGAGAGGTGACTACTTTACAACACACACAGTGTCAGCACCAATTCAGAAATGATTTGAGGATCTACAGTGAACACACAAATAAGATGCCTTTTTGTTAATAGTTAAGGTACTTCAATGCATTTTTAAGATTTAACTCCTTAGTTTAGTGTCACTTTAACAGTACTTTGCTCTTTATTCACAAAAAGCATACATCAATTTAAATTTGACCCAAGAAACTCTGATTTAAATTTTTTTTATTTTCATAGTGTAATTTGGTGGTTGGCTTTTTATTGTATAAGGAGATTTCCAGCTTCTAGGGGAATCCCAGGGAAATATCTGTCTAGCGTTCCCAGGCAGATATCTCCTTATCTGTAGCTAAATATGGATCTCAGATGGTTTTATAAACGTGTTAACCGTCACTGTACCTTCATTTGCACATCCAAATTATCAGGTGTCACTTTTGGAGGTCCCATCAGTGAGTAATCAATAGCTGCCACATCATCAAGTTTTACTGCAACTAAAAACAAAAATGTTTCCAGATTAGTGTGAGACACTACAAAAGTTAATTATAAAGAAAATAAAATCTAATTAAAACCAGTGAATAATATATGGCCAGGAAACAGAATTTTAATCAACAGCCATATAAAACATAAAAGGCTAGAGGGTTTTCTATAGGTCATGCGCAAAGAAAAAAGAATCGGTGATATATTTCAATGTATTGCCTTGAACATCCAAACAGTAAACAGTAACACAAATTAGGGTTCAACGTCTTTTACCATATCAACACAATCAGAGTGGATCGGAGGTAACCTTGTCAAGTGTTTGAAGAACTTTGGGAATTTAAAAAATTGTACCCTTGCAGTGGGGCTACCTTGGCACTGCAAGGGTTAAGTGTTCATTTTGTCTAGTGGGCTGAAATAAAGCAGATATACTCACCTGATCCTTGGTCCCGCCGGATTTCTACACCAGTCTCTGCAGCCTCTTCTCCCCTGGGCTCCGGCAGTCTAAGGACCGCTGATGTCATCAGGTCTAATGCAGGTCCAATCATTTTAATTAGACGGAGGGGGAGAGAGGTGAGCGCTGAACACTGCGGGAGCGAGGGTCAGATGAATATATCTGCCTTATTTGAGCCCCCCTAGACAAAACAAACACTTAACCCTTGAAGTGCAGAGTAGCCCCACTGCAAGGGTAAGTTTTTAAAATTCCTGGAGTTCTTCTTTAACCTTTTTAAGGCAGTTGCAAGTCAACACAGATATGAAGAAACTAAAGACTCGGTCCTAGTAGAAAAGTACCGAAACATCTGAAACTTGGGCAAGTATTTAATGCTGTAGTGCTCAAATGTAATGCATATAATGTCTAGCAAAGCTACTAAAAAAAGAACTAGTCCATCAAATAGATAAGCATATTGTCAGTGTATAAGAGGGCAACTTGCAGGCCCCCAAACCTTGGTACCCCATTGTAGCGCATTATAACTACTAAAGGGTCTAAACCAAACCTGTTTTATATAAAGTCAAGCCTTCCCTAGTACAGGGATAAGCAGATCTCGGCCATGCATGGAAGTCATGCTCATGGCTGCCAGAGTCTTGCAATGCCTAATAGGATTGTAGGATGTAGTTTCACCCCCCAGCTGGCATGCCTCCAGTGTCTTGGTTTACCATCCCAAATCCTATCCACCCCGATCTTAAAGGATTAATAAAGTCTCACACTTTTTTTGAATACATCTAGCAAGCAGTAGATATATGCAAAAACATAAAAAAAAAAAAAGAAGTTAACAAAAGGGTTAAACTTACCTGTGTCTCCTCCGCATGCTCACGTCCGAAGAACTGAAAATTTCGGGTGGCCGCAAAGGATCATGGGGCGGGCGCATGCGCAGTAGCAGATCTTTGGACGGGAGAAGAGGAGAGACACAAGGTAAGTCAATGCAGGCAGCATGCACCCGCACAGACACTATGGGACAGGCAGAGACAGGAGTCAGCGCTGGATCAGAGACCGGCACCAGTGCTGGACTCCTGAAAACTACTGGAAGGAAGGAGATGATCGGATCAAGAGGCATCACTTAAAAGGAGAACTATGAGGTGAGTGCTTTTCACTCACCTCATAGTTCTAGCCGACCTGTGACAATGAGACTGTCACAGGTCGGCTCAGTAGATCGGGAGGTGAGCGAACACATACCGAGTTTGCTCGCCTGTCGATCCTGTCACGGCTCTCTGCCGTGACAGGGGGAGGGGCTGGATTCCCCCCCCCCCCCCTTGTTGCGC